CTGCCAGAGAACTGTCCGAAATGTCAAGCGGCTACGGACTATCAGTGCAAAAACAACAGATGCATTCCTAAGAGATGGTTGTGTGACTTTGAGAACGACTGTGGTGACAACTCAGATGAGTCAGAAGACCTGTGTAAAGGACTTTATCGTCAGTGTTCGGAGTCTGAGTTCCAGTGTTCCAACGGTAAATGCATACCGGGCCAGTGGAGATGTGACCACGATGACGATTGCGGTGACAACTCGGATGAACTCAACTGTGGTGGGTTCCAGTGTAAGAACGGCACCTTCCAGTGCAAGAGTGGCCATTGCATTGCATCGTACTTCCGATGTGACGGCGACAGAGATTGTCGAGATTTCAGTGATGAAATCGGCTGCCCACCCAGGTACCCTGAAGGTCGATACTGTCCTAAGTCCAAGTTTGAGTGCAAGACTACTAAGCTGTGTGTTTTCAACTCCGAGATCTGTGATGGCGAAGATGATTGTGGTGATGGCTCCGACGAAGCGCCTGAACTCTGCTGTGAGTACCTAGTGTTCTCTTTATAAAAACAAAATATAATTATAAAAAATTAATTGTAATTTTTACTTATTTATCACAGCCAACATGAGTTGTACACTCGACAACCGTTTCTCTTGTGACAACAAACATTGCATCCCGATGTACCAGCGTTGTGACGGCGTAGACAATTGTGGAGACGGTTCTGACGAAAACGATTTGAGTGTTTGTGGTATGATGCACAATATCAGACAGTGTGATCATTATACCGAATTCACATGTGCTAACCGTGAATGTGTCAACAAGTCAAAACTATGTAACCTTCAGTATGACTGCGAAGATCTGTCTGACGAAAAAGGATGCCGTAAGTCAATACATGCGATAAGATTGAAATTCTGTGGCGACTGTTTTTGTGACACGTTTGGCATTTTTATGTTTTAGATTATTCAGGCACATGTTTAGAATCCACAAAAGGTGGTTGTGAACACTACTGTTTGAATGTGACGTCAGGAAAAGGATTCAGCTGCGCATGTTACGCTGGATACCAGATTGGAGAGAACAGTAAAAAATGCGAAGGTAAGTTTGAATGATATTAATGTGTTGCTAAAACATATCTTTAAAAATACTTATAATGTATATATTTTTCAATACTATTATAGATTTGGACGAATGTCAGTTAGGACTTCACCATTGCTCCCAAGACTGTACGAACATAAACGGTTCATTTATTTGTTCATGTCGGGAGGGTTTTGTGTTAAGCGATTTATTTAGCGGTGTATGTAAGGCCGTGGATCCAAAGTTGACCATAGTATACACTAATGGTCCTGAATTACGAGGGTATGAATCCAATGAGAGGAAACACTTGTCGATCCTCAGCAACGAGAAACGTATACGGGCTATTGATTTTGATCCAAAATCCGAAATAATTTATTGGGCCGATTCGTATGACCAGTCGATAAAACGTTCGTACATGGTGGACGCTAAGAGTGGACAAGTCAAAGTGGGGTACCCGCAAGATCTAGAAATCAAAGGACCGTATAAGCCTGTGGCGGTTGCCATAGACTGGATGGGTGACAATCTTTATTGGGCCGAAGTTGACTTATCGAAAGAGGATAAACCAGCTGGGCGAATAATGGTCGCTAAACAAGATGGAAGGTATAGAAGATCGATTGTTAGCAGTGGTATGTTTATATATTAAGATAGATCAATAAAGTTATGAGGACAAAATATAGTTGAATTATGTAACTATATATCTTATTGTTTTTTAGGATTGGACACGCCTTCCTCTCTGGTTTTGGATCCTGAAATGGGTAAAATGTTCTGGGCGGATGTTGGAGAAACTCCTAAAATC